AGTGGACTTCGGGAGGTTTAGAAACATGCCGAGATAAAGACTGCATTACAGGCCATCAACTTCACAGTGCCATGTCCTATTGAAAGACCTTTTGATGTCTCCTTCCAAGACGAAAAGAGAATCCAGGCTCCTAACAAGGCAAGATGGTGCACTATGGTCTGGTCTCAACTCCTTATCTCAGCCTCCTCTCAACTCATTCTGGTCCATGCACGTTCCAGTGATAGGGCACCCTGGGCATGCTGACGTCAAGCTTCTCTGCCATGCTGTATGCTGTTGCCGTCTTTATCTTCCTAGCGAACTCTTTCTCATCCAATAAAGCCCAATTTTAAAGATTTTAAAGGATTTTTCTCCTATGCTGAAAATTCACCAATAGATTATCATTCCCCTCAGAGAAGATCAGATCTTCTCCATGCCCAGAAGCCTGGATGATCAGGTTCTCTCCTATACCATCAGCCCCATCTTCCAGCGCCTATAGATGGACCTGGGAGGGCAGGGTCTGAGTGTGAGCATTAATCCTGGGGAAAGGGAGAAGGTCAGTGCATGCAGGGAGCCACGGGGAAGATGGCATCACAGAGGCCAGAGTGTACCAAGGTCTTGCAGACAATCTGCCATATTGGGTTTAGGTGCAAGGAGCAGAGAAGGAGGTGGACGAGGCGACCAGCAGATGTTTTCAAATGTACACATTCATTCAACTGAAACATGCCAAGCACACTCCATGGACCCATCACCTAATCCTTATAATAAGGAGTAGGTATTACTCTAGATTAAAAAGAAAAAAGTAGGTGAGAAAGTAGGAGTTCAAGGAAGTTAGGGATTCTGCTGGATCCACACAGCTAGTAAGCGGCAGGGCTGGAATTTGACTCAAGCTCAATTTTTTATGACTCCTAAGCCTAAACTCTTTTTTCTTGTTCTGTAGAGGATCAGTTGAAGGAGTATACAGCAAGAGATTAGCAAAGAGAATACAGAGTTTCTGTGGCGTTTTGATTCCAGAGTTGTCAGATATCTCAGAAAGTAAAGGGTTTACAGCATTTGTATCAATACACATCAGTTCCTGCATTTTCCCAAACACATAATCACATCAACAAGATGACCAATCAGCAACAGTGGCAGCAAGCCACAGTGGAAGGCGAAGAGGCTTCGAAGAGTTGAGGTTGGGCAAATCTGACGGGGTGACCTTGGGTAAGCTACCTCACCTCTCAGACCCTCATTTTTTTTTATCCACAAATGGGGACTTCCTAGTGCTTTCTCAGAGGACTGTAAACATCCATGTACATAAAGGGCCTCCTTGCAACAGTGGCTCTTAAAGTTTCCTCCAGGAAATGACATAAGGCACTTCCACTCACATTTAATTGGCCAAAGCAAATCACATGGCCACACTTTACTCCAAGGAAGAGTGGTCCTAGCATCTATCTGGGAAGAGCACAGAAATACTCAAACACCCTAGTGACCGTTCTTTCTCCCACACTCTTTTAAAGCATTTTTAAAAATCTTTATTTATTTATTTATTTATTTTGGCTGCATTGGGTGTTCATTGCTGCACGCGGGCTTTCTCTAGTTGCGGCGAGCGAGGGCTACTCTTTGTTGTGGTGTGCGGGCTTCTCAGTGCAGTGGCTCCTCTTGTTGTGGAGCACAGGCTGTAGGCACGTGGGCTTCAGTATTTGTGGCACATGGGCTCAGTAGTTGTGGCACATGGGCTCTAGAGCCCAGGCTCAGTAGTTGTGGTGCACAGGCTTAGTTGCTCCACGGCACGTGGGATCTTCCCGGACCAGGGCTCAAAACCGTGTCCTCTGTTTTGGCAGGTGGATTCTTAACTACTTTGCCACCAGGGAAGTCCCTCTCCCACATTCTTTTAAAATGAACGTACACTTTGGTTTGAAAAGCATTTTTGTGGTATAGCTTTTAAATAAATTGTCATCAGGTATAATATTAGAGCTTCTATTTATGGAGTGACAATGTCGTCTTCAGATGTGGCCTAGGTGGATATTGAGGAAGGAATCAACTCCCAGAGAATGGAGTCAAGGATCACAAAGAACATGTCCCACCCTAGGGCAGGGGCCCTTACAGCATCTGCCCAGAGGGATTTCAGGATTGCTGTGGACCAAAGACTGCTGTGTTTCTCTAACTATTCCTCTTACGTAGTGGAAATGTTTTTTGGTTATTCTGCTTCATTCCACTATTGTATAGTGTGTGTGTGTGTCTCTGTGTGCGTGTGTTTGTGTGCATGTGCACGTATGGAGGGGGTGATGGCTGTGGTGGTAGCAAATACTTCTTCTTGTTAGTGTATAGGTCTCCAGATGGAGTGGAGCCGCATCTGGGCCAGATACAGAGCCTCCTGTGCATCTCAACCCAATGAAAAGATCATCAGGAATCACTCAGAGAACCTGTTCGTTGAGCTTGGAGCCAGTCACAGGTGGGACTCAGAGGTTGTCTCATTTAGAGAAGGGTGGCTGTATTTTTAACGTGGGAAGAGCAGTCAAACGAACATCGCTGACTAAGTGGACAGACCATAGTGCTCATCAGTGTCGTTCGTACAATATTTCCAGTTTTTCTTCCAGACATATTGTAGATTTCACTTCCAGGCTTTGTTGGAGTTAGATGTGGCCATGTGACTTGCTTTGGCCAATAATGTGTGAGTAGAAATGACTGGTGTCACTTGTAGGCAGAAGCTTTAAGGGCTTGTGCACCGTCCGTCATGCTTTCTTTTTCTTCTTTCTCAGCGTGCAGCAGTGTAGCTGCTCTGTCTGCTTGGGAAAAGCAGAGAGGAGCCCCCTCTCTTCTGCAGTGGATATGAAGTGAGAATTATTTTAAATAACTGAGAACTGGGGCTTGGTTGTCACTACAGCACAACTTAGCCTATTCTAACTGATCCAAAGAGACCATCTTAATTCTTTATAAAATCACTTTCTTTTGGTGGGGCTGGTCTGCCCAGTTGGCATGTAACCGGGAAAAAGTGGTTTCAACTGGCCTTGTTAGAGTTCGGGGCAGGTTTCCATTGCAGGCTGGGGTGACAGGGATCCGGATGTGGTCCCTGAGGGCCTCTAGGGAAGAGCAGTGGTAAGGTTCATGCTGAGGACATGACTGGGGCCCCCTTATCTTATGGGCAGCATCCAGGCTATGTTCCGGAATATCCACGGGCTGACTGGGGGTGTCCAGCTGGGGCACTGAGCCATCGCTCCAGCACAGCTGTGTTTAGTGACTAATGATGCCTGTGCAACCTCTAAATCGGTGCCTTGCTATACTAGTTAGTTTCATGGACTCTTGCCAGATGACACCGTCTTCCTTTCCTGTTATCCTGGGGAACTCTGCAATACTGAGGAAGCTCCTATCACATTCTACTGAAATGTCTGAGAAGCTTTCTACTATCCCGTGATGTACGTCAGACTTCAAGTAGGTGACTTCTGCTCAAAAACACACTCTCTCACTGAGGCATAAAAAAGAAGGAAATAATGCCATTTGCAGCAATGTGGATGGACCTAGAGATTATCACACTAAGTGAAGTAAGCCAGACAGAGAAAGACAAATATCATATGATTGGTTTATACGTGGGATCTAAAAAGAAAAGATACAAATGAACTTATATACAAAACAGAAATAGACTCACAGACATAGAAAACAGACTTATGGTTACCAAAGGGGAAAGTGGGGAGAGGGATAAACTAGGAGGTTGGGATTAACATATACACACTACTATATATAAAATAGATAAACAACAAGGACCTACTGTATAGCACAGGAAACTATACTCAATAGTTTGTTATAACCTATAAGGGAAAAGAATCTGAAAAAGAATATATATACACACACATACATATCTCTGAATCACTTTGCTGTACACCTGAAACTAACCCAACATTGTAAATCAACTATACTCCAATTAAAAAATATATACTCTCTTCTGTTGCCTCATTCCTGCTTTGTTTCCTTCCCGGACTTTGTGTCTCTAGTGCTCCCAGGGCTGCACCATTTGCCCTTCTTGTCATCTTCTCTTGCGTGGGGCTGCCCAGAACTCACTCTTCGTCCCAGTGCAGAGGGGCCTATGTCTCCCCTAGAGGAAACCAGCCCTCTGAAGACTTACTCTTATACCACAACCCGCCTTTCCCCTAAGCCCGCATGGCGAATGGTCAAGGCCACCGATCTTAGTAACTTTCAAAGAATCCATCAACACGAGTTCGAGTCATCTCAAAGTGCTAACCTGCTTATTTGGGGAGCATTTTACTTCCCCTCTGCTCTCCCATTGGTACTTCAAAACACCCCAGCTGCTAAGGGGGCAAAGACAAAGATGCCAGCAAATCTGAGTGGGGAATAGAGAGGCTACCTGCATGCTCAGAGGGCTGGTTTTCCTGCTTCCAAAGAGATTAGCCTGGGTGCAGGGACTGGAGGAGAGGCAGCAGCAGAGGAAATGAGGAGGGAGCAGGGACCTTCAAGCGAGAAGGCAGCAAAGAGCCTCCATCCCTGGGGAGCAGGGAAGGGGCTCAGAGCTTAGCAGAACTTGAGGGCGGCCTCTCGTGGCTTTGAACCTATGCGCAATCCACCAATCCACCCGCTCCCTCCGTCCCACATATTTGTGAATTCCCGGTATAGAGGGTTGGGGTCTTGGATAATTTGATTGGGAATAAAGAGAGATCCTTGGCTCCTGACCTGTGTAGCAATCAACAGAGCCAACTGGCAATTTTGTTATAAGATTCCACATTCAGCCCCACACAGCCCCAGTTTGAAACCGGCTAAGGTTCCAGAACAATAAAAGGTATTACCAACTCAGAGGCAACCTGAAATTCTCATGTTGATCTAAAATCAAAATCTGGTCTCAAGCCAAGTGCTTTATTATTATACAAGCGTAGTGCCTGGATTCATCCTTATTTTTATAAGTCCTGTTTTATTAGTAAGGGATAGAAAATTTTCCTGGCTGATTCTCATACCACTTGCTTTGCCCTTTCCTCTGTCAGTACCTTTCATGGACTGTACGCAGATGGGCCAGGAAGAAGGTCTGGACTTAGGGTTACCTTGCCAACAAGCGCCGACCGTAAGTTGCATGGCTATGTGAGACGGATGAATGGGCCAATCGTTGGTCACCAGGTATGGTTCATACGTTGCTCCATCCATGTATAAGGTAACCACAGGAAACTCCACATTGATGACATAGTAATGCCATTCTTTGTCACAAATCTAGTGGAAAGAAAGAGAAGCAACACTTAAAATTGAATAGGCAGTGAAACATCAAACAGACTGTTATTCTAATTATGAGAGAGGGAGAAGAGACCTTTAGATCAACAATGTTTATTGCAAAGAACTCAATGAACATAATGGTTGATATGCACTGAGGTTATAGAAACTCAAATCAAACGTGATGGGGCAAACCGTGGAGTAGAGGAACACCTGAGAAGCTAATCATCAGGCAAACATCTGGCTATCTGCAGATTATCCCGGTCACATAATTACCAGCTCTCTAGGCTGGCAAGTCCTTGGTGGACAGGTGGAGGTGTCCGCTTAAATTTGCGCTGTATCAAATTTTTCTTAGTTTTTCAATAGAGAGAGAGTAAATTTAAAATTGTTTTTCTAAGCTCCAGGAAGGATGCTAGATTGGAAGTAGAAATGAAGAAGAAGATAGAGAAGGGGCAGAGGAAGGGAAAGAGAAAGAAGAAAATAGAAGAGGAAAAAATTAGGAGTTAGGAAGGATCAAGGAGGAAGCAATGACCATGGGAAGAGGAAGAAGAATGAGTTTCAGAAGAATAGGAACCCCCCCCTCACTGCAATTCCTTTGTCTCTAGATTAAGGCTTGTCTGAGGAGCTGTTGTAGTCTCACCCTCCCTTCAACCCAAGCAAAATAAATTCTGAGACAGACAGTCTGCCCAAGAGGACTCAGTTTTATCCTTCCTTAGAGTGCCTGGGGAGCTAGAGAAGAACAACAAGTGGGTCCTCCTGGCTGGACTCAGTGCACAGCACTCTTGCACTCATGTCCCCTCACAACTTTTGCACCTGTGATTTCTGGTCTTAGGCCTGGGAATGAAAATCTAACCTTAATGGGTGGGTAGAGACATTGGGGGCCAGGATAAAGTCACAATTCCTGACCTCAAGATGCTCAACTCCCACAGCATCATGCAAAATAGAAACCAGTATGGCACACGTCTTGGGAAAAGCGATAGGAAGCATAAAAGGTGACAAGGCTGGGGATGGGAGCCCCCTCCCTCCGGCCCCCTAAGCAAGTGTCTTGGAAGTCGCATTAGGCTCTCTTTCCTCCCCACTCCCTCTCCCTCAGATCCCTCTGTACCCCGTGGAGTCCACCTCGGATGTGTCTCTCATCTGTGTCCTCTTGTCTCCATTGCCCCTGCCGTCTGTGGCAACGCAGACAGATGAGTTCTGCATGAAGGTGACCCCAAGTGAGGACATCAAAGTCCTCCCTACACCCCGCTCTGGGTTAAATGTGCTGTTTCTCATGAATAGATAACACGAAAGGGATGCTAAATGATCTTTTCCCTTTCATTCTGGAATAAGATTTTTTCCCCTTAATGTTCTTTTTATACGGTTCTGTTTCATGTCTCAGAAAATTGCTTCTTTTGAAATCCATTAACCTGATAAAGCCTGATGAATATTTTAGGGGCCCTTGGAAGGTAAGCAGGAGGGAGGGGTCCAGGCAGATGTCTCCGAAATCCTGTTCGACTTCACTGAGTGTACAGCTCAGTACCTGACACATCTCAGTAGAGGTCCTAACTCTACTTACACCCACCTCCTGCTTTATGCCTGAGACCAGACACTGGGTTGGGTGCAGGGATCTTGGGGTGGGTCTCTGACCCAGGTGAGGCTGACCTAGGGGTGTAGGTGTGGCACCAAAGAAGATCTGAAGACACAGTCTAGGGGTGATGAAAGAGTGGGGAACTAAGGAGAGTTCTGAATGAGGAAGCGTCTAATCCAAGGAGACCCAGTGCACACTGGACTTGGGGTTTGCAATCACGGATGGCCAGTCAGAGCATCCTGGGTAGATGGTCTCTGAGGCATCAGGAAACCTCTGACCAGTCCCAGGGTGGAGAGCGGACAGATGGCAGTGCCGTGACCCTGTCCACACCTCATGCCCTTTGAAATACAGGCAGAACCCCATCAGGCAGCACTGGGGGGCTCCCCTGCCCAGGCCACCATCACCACTCTTCCGGTGGCCTCCCTCTCGGGCCCGGCTGCCATGTTGAATCCATGCACTGGCTGACTCTACATCACCCTGCATCTGCCGTAGCTGGATGGAGGCTGGTTCTCTGGCCCGCTTTCTTTCACAACACTTACAGCATTTTTGTAGGACAATACAAAAAAATGCCAAGGAGGAAGCAAAATAAGTCCATAGCTTCACAGGAGTAGCAATCCCTGTCAACGTTACAATCTTCTCCTAGGCATCCCCACATCCCCCAGCTTTTCTGAAATGTGCTCCATGAACAGCAGCCCCTGTGATGTCCCACCTAAAAACAGTGACGTCCCACCTTAAAAAACAGTGAAGCCTTGGTTTTTGTTTTTTCATTTCCCATGTCATTAGCCTATCCAAGGTTCCCAGCAGCCTCAAAGTATACACCTGTAACAATTTTTCAACCTTTTGGGAAAACGGAACTTTTCTATTTATAGCATTCCTGTAAGCATCCCATGAAAAAAGAGTTGGGAAAGGTCTATTTGGAACACACTGTACATACAACTTGAAAGTTTGCTTATCTCACTTAACATCAGTATTAAAATGCCTTTACTATCTTCATTTTACATGGCTGTATAATATGGATACACTCCATGATACTATACTATATTTTATACTTCATTATTCCCTTATTCTCAGGTATTCATTGTGTACCAGCAATTATAAATGATACCACAATGAATTTCTTTTTGCACAAATATTTCTCTGCATTTCTGATTATATCCTTGGAAGAGATTCCTGGAATGGAATTACTGGATCAAACGTTGGAGGTATATCTGAAGGCTCTTGACAATACATCATCCAGTTTTTTCCTGCAGTAGTTTGTGCTTATTTATGCCCCTGCCACACAGTGTGAGACTGCTCGTGCACTGTACCTTTACCTCACTGAGTATTTAAAAAAATAGAAAATCCTGGCAATTTGGAAGGGGGATACGTTCTATCTTATTTTAATATGGCAATTTGGAAGGGGGATACGTTTTTATCTTATTTTAATATGGGTCACAAAAGATGGCAAGATTTATATTTTCCGAGGTCAGAAGGTAGGGCCTTCTGGGAGTGGGGAGCAGCCTGAGCTGACCTAGAGGTAGTAAAGGTTGGGAGCTTCCCCAGTGAGCTCCTAACTCGGCGTCCAAACAGAGGCTATCAGTCAGACTGGGCTTACTCCTGCAGACTTCCTGCACCAAGTAATCTATGAAGGCAGCTAAAGGAAACGCCTAATTAGGGTTTCATATATGTGGATCTGTGATGAGAAAGAGACCCTCATTAACCCTCTGCAGGGAAACTGAAAAATGATCAAGCCAGGAGGCAGCAAAAATAACTGTGTCAAGGCAATGGCTCCACCATGAAAGGAGGAAATTAGGCAAAGTGACCTTTCCTGGGGGGAGAGAGGAACTTTCATTCCTGAATGTGCATGAATCCCTGGGCAACCCAGCTGGCACCAGGCATGTCCAATGCCATCCCCAGAGACAATGCCCAAGCCCTCAGCTGGCCCAAAGACGCTTTGCCCTCTGGAAACCTGCAGGTGTTCCCACAGTGCCTGGTGGTAGCTGCTGTCTAGCTGGGGAGTGAATCAGAGACCGAGGCCCAGGGACAAATGCTGGATATCCGCCCAAAAGGGTGATGGCAGGGACAACGCCAAGGAGGTCTGAGTTGGGAGCAGGCTGGTACTGCAGGGTTGAGTTGGAGACTGGGGAAGCCTCCCGTGACAGGGGAGGAGATCAGGCTGCCCACAAGTTGGTCCAAATGTCCTTGAATGGGCCCCATTGGAAGTTCTGAGTTGGTTTTCCCAGGGAGTCAGGTATTTTTGAACGCAGTTATTCAACGTGAGATACATTTACCTATGAACCAATGTGCGAGGGAATGTACTAAGGGCTGCTTGGGATGCAGCACTTAGCAGATACATGCTTTGCCTGCAAGGTTTTCAATCTGGGGCAGGGCATGGTGGTGGTGGTTAGGTATCAAATACACAGAAGACTCAGATGCAATCGGAATTGAGATAAGTCTTACAGACAAGGTGCAAAGCACTGTGAGATCCAGACTTCTGGTTGGGAGAAGGTGGCATTTAGGGTGGTTAAAACTGTTAAGATTTCATTAGGAATAGATGGCAAGGAAAAATTCCAGGAAAATGGAGCAGAAACCTTTTATTTCCTCATTCATCTGTCCTTTCAACTGGCAAAGAAGCTAGTAGGTTTGGGGCAAATGGAGATTCACTCATTCACTCACTGCTATAGACATTTACTAACTGCATATCCTGCTTTTTGAAGAAAAGAAGGCACCTGCCCTCATGGAGCTTCCAGTTCAGACACAGAATTGACAGAAAAGCTTGTAATAGTTGTGACTCATGTCCACAGATTTGTGCAAGGCACCAGGGTGATGCCGTGGAGGGGGCGGGTGTCTGATTGCACTGGGAGGAGGGAAGGAGCACAGACACAGAGCTTGGAGGGGTCACGTTGGTTTGGGCAAGGTGAGGAGTGGCAGATGAGGCTGCAAGGATAGCTTGGAACTGAGGCCCGAGGACTTGAACAGCTTTTCTTCTGTAGGCAACAGGACTTGTGGGGGTTTGGGGGCTGCAGGAGGATGGTCGTCATAGCAACAATCAATCTTGGAACAAGCTTCTCAATGTCAAAGCAGCTTTTCCTCTCCCTTGTACTATTTAATCCTCACTGCAACCCTGTAAAGCAGGAGGACCAGTTGTGTCTTGGGCAGAAAATTATTAGAAAATACAGGGAAAGAAATGACATGGTTTCTAACCTCAAGGCGTTGCTACTGGATGTTAAGTGAACCACAACCCCATGGTGGGCTTCCCTGCTTGGCCTCTCTTCTTTCCATTCCATACACAGCCACCGGCTCAGCTTTGCATGCAGACTGCCAAATCAGGATCTTGAGCAGATACTTATCTTCTGAGCGATGGACTCACATGTCAGATTGCCCCTGAATGGTCCACTAGATGTTCCACAGGCACTTCAAACTCACCATGTCCAATATTGAGCTCTACAGCCCCGTG